CACACACACACACTCTTTCTCTGAGGCTGCGCGAGGAGCAGTGGACCTGGAAACAGGGGGCACGTGTGGCTTTACGGGGCCCACCCACGCGCTTTGAAGAGACCTGATGGGTACCAAAACTCGGGTCCGGGGTCCCAATAGTTAAACACCTGATGGTACACAGAGTAAAAGGCTATAAAGTATAATATAGATAATACTAGATTGTATTTGTTTCAGCATTAGGATGCATTTTAATTATTAAAAGATAAATTAGTTTCTTTTTTATAAGGTTTAAAAGTGGTTTTATTTTTAAGAATAATTGGCTTTTTAGCATATTTTGCTGTCTGTTCATTAGACTCGTAAGTAAATCTGATCAAAAATTCTAATATGTGCAGTGTCCAACTAAAAATCAATGGTCTGGATCCCAAAAAAGGAGTCCCAGGATAAAATGTACATTTCTCTTACATTATAGGCTACTAACCCCAAAACTAACCCTGTGTTTGCCTAACTGTGTCAGTCAACCTCAATTAAACCACAGTCCTGAAGGAGTAGATTAATTGAGCTTTTTTGTTAAACTCTTCTAATACCCATGGATGTTGTTTTCCGAACATGAAATTCAGCTATTACTTGTTTATAGATGATTTGACTTTACGTTTGACGTTTTTTTGATGCCTTTGGTCCCCTGAAGTTCACATTATTTTGCTAATCCCTTATAAGAAATCACACAGGATGTAAAACCTCTGTTATTTGCAATTCTGGCTGAATGTCTGATATTTTAAATATATAATACTTTTCTTCTAATTAGTACACTTTTATATTTGGACTCAACATTAATTCTTAACCTTGGAAATAGCAGCTGAATTGAGTTTGACACATAATCTAACATTAAAATATAACTTTAATGATCAAACATGACTACTATCCATCAACCTCGCAACACCAAATCTTGTGAAATGGGAGTCTGTGAATGGATGTGCCAAGTACTTTGACCAGAACATTTTGGATTTCTCACTTGAACTTGAACCCTCAGCTGCCTGTTGGAAATTACAAGACGCAATTCCCACATTCCTTTCCCCTTCTACACAGTTCACAACAACCGAAAAGTCATCCAAGTTCAAAGATAAGACTGTTCTCCCCTTCTTTGTCAACAAGCTGCTGTGGTTTCAGCCAGGGCCACCCATACAAAGGATCTCTTCATTCCAACAAATCTGGATGGTTATGGGTTACGTAACAAGGCTTGGAGATTAGATATCAAATATTGTTTGTGTCAGCTGGATGCTGGACTGATGAGCCAAACGGGACACATCGACCCACTGTTGCCCTTACTTCATCCTTCCCCTCCTCATTTCGCTCTGTTAGCCTACGAGCAAAGTCAGCATTTAATAAGACACCGGGGGAAACTCAGCTTCAGTACACCGCAACGGTTCTTAACTTTGCTTTACCTGAGCAACAGTTTTTTTAATAGACTATGCAACAGGAAGTGTTTATGATTAAAAACATTTATTTAAAAACACTGTACAAGAGTTAACTTCACAGAACAGCTGAAATCATGTGCTGCTTCGCTCTGCATCTGTTTTAAATGACCATGCAAGATATTCAGAAGAAGGTGCAATTTTCTGGACATTTTGGCAGTTTTGTCTGTTGTGATGAGCAATGACAAGTCTTTAATGGTAGGTGACATTACATGTGAAGATGATAAACATCCCTGTAGCTGCGGTCGTCTCTCCTTGACAAAGACGATCCGCTGGCCAACCTTCAAAAGGCAGGAAAAGCCCTTTGACATTAATCAGTTTTCTGTCTCACAGGTTGTGTGCGAGTCGACCAACATCGGCGCAAGTGGGATCTGATCCAGACGCAGCACTTACAGTAATTGAGTAATGCCCCCCTTCAGAAAAGCCTCATTAAATTCTCAATACCACCATGTGTTCCCGGACATAGCTGCTCAAAGACCCAAGTCAGCAAGACGTACAGGATGCTGCTGAGGGTTCTGTGCACGAGGGGGATTAGGGGGTTGAGAGGAAAATGAGAATGGACACTTCAAATTCACAGGAAGCAGCATCCATTAAGTAATGTCTACTACCACAAAAAATAAAAGTAAAAATAAAAATTCACCTCTAAAAGGAGCAAAACTTTGCACCAATTTTTAAATATTTATTCTTATTTTGAAGCGCTTAAGTGCTGCACATTGTTTCCTGCGGTTGGATATGCAGCTGCAAAGTCAAAGTCTTACTAGTGGTTCTTCCAGTTCTTTAAAACAATCAAGAAAAAGAAGCAATCAGTGCTGAACCTCGACAACCTGTACCACAGTCCTGGAAAAAGCAGAGGGGTCCATTTCCTCCCCACACAGTGAGGTCGGTGGTGTTGACGGCTGAAGGACAGTGTGCAGACGTGACTCGTAGCTGGTGTCGTGCATCCAGGCGCACGGCCTGTGGAGGAGTTCCTTGTCGAGCTCGCAGTTCTGCTCGGTGGGCAGCAGAGTAGTCGTCGAGGTCGGTCCCAGCCGCGACAGCAGGTCACAGTCCCAGTCAGAGTCTGATGATGACGGTGCGGCTAAGTCTGGGATGAGGGCTGACTCGATGCACACCGAAGTGGAGTGGGATAACGAGCGTTGAGAGTCTTGGCTGGAAAACGCGCTGAGAGATTTATCATTCGGGGACTGAAGTGGAGGATCAAAAGTTGCTTTCGAGAGTGGCCGTGATGGCTGATCTGCAACGGAAGTGCTACCGTGACCTAAAATGTCCATTTGATTTGATGTCTGTGTGAAGTTATGTACAGTAGGAACACAAAACATGGTGAAAGTCTGTTTTAAATCACTCGCTTCCACAGTGCATGTTGAAGAGACCTTTGTATTAGGACAGGACTGTATTATCTGACAAGGTCTCCTGTCAGATAATACAGTCCTGGTAAATAAACAGCCCTCTGGTTTTGCAGATTGATCCCCGTGTTCAGTCCAGCTTCCACTGTGGTCAAATTTCGCTGTAATCCTCCTCCTTTTTCTCCGGCTGTGTTGGGGGCTGGCTGACCTGCAGCGCTTTTTGGGGTTTGGTGCCGTTGCTGACTGTCGAGGGAGGGAACGAGCTCTACGTGAAAACAGTGTAGCGCACGCCAAACCACTGGTGGAAAGATTGTCTGGGTTTGATCCCTTTACTCCTTCTGTATTTGTTAAAGCCGTAGAGGGACAACGCGGGAATGTGACCGCTGGGAGAAACTGAGACACACTTTTTGCAGTGTCCATTTCATAAGCGTGTCCTCCCACAGCCTCCTCTGCAGTGGTCGGCTGAGGACTGAGAACAGGAGGGTCTGAGTACGGGCAGTGTGGCTCCATAATGCAGGAGGGATAAGGAACTTGTGGGCTGAGGACCGGAGGCAGGGAGTAAGGGTCAGGGGATGGACATGGCGTGTCAGGGCAGGGGAAGAAATGGTGAGTATTAGGCTGCTGGCTAGCCGAGTCGTGGGCTCGGGGTTCAACGTTCAATACAGGCATGGCTGGGCTTGAAGCGCGAGGATGGCTGTGGAGGATCTGGCAGTCTGAGTTTGTGCTGAAAGGCTGGATGTCAGCAGGTGGAGTGGCTGGATTTGGGAAGGGAAACTGAACTCCTGGTGATGGGTTAGCTGGGTCATGGGAAACAGGACGCGCATTAGGGCTGGAGATGTGAGCGTTGAATGATGAACCGTGTCTCTGCAGAGCTTGAACAGCATGCTCCGCCTCAACATCGGTGAGAGGCTCCAGTTCACAGACATCTTGGATGAGCAAGGGAGTTGGTGGTCTAGGAGGAGGACATAGAGAATACAAAAAGTTCTTCACTTAAAAACACAGAAAGCTCCTTGTGGTCAAGTTAAAAAGCAGATTACAGGAATTTTCACAACATCAGGACATTGGCAGGTATTAATAAAAACTCACCGATTCAGCGTTTCTTCTGATTGTTGAGGTGGATCGGGGTCGAATCCCGGAAGCATTTCAGCCACGAGTTGGTCCATCGCACTGTAGTTCGAGAGATCCAGCACAAAGGCACGGTGCTGATCAGACTGCAAGTGCTGCAAAGGTCAGGAAAGACACAAATGTAAATGTAAGACAAACAATGAAGGCAAATAAATTCTAAAGTAATTCTTAAAGATATTCACCTCCTCCAGATTAGTGAAGGGTTGATGGCAGCATTCACAGTAAGACAGGTCCTTTTTCCGCGGCCGCCAAGGTGAAGGGTTACAGCTGAGTGGCGTTGGAGGTTTGTCCTGAATGCTGCTTTCAACTTTTTTCTTCTCCCTAATTAGGAATGAATCACAATTATGATAAATCCTTCACAACTGACAATTAAGCAAACTTTCTAAATAAAGTTTATTTCCTGTTGCATGATTCCTACATCAGTGCAACACAGGAAATACACTTTAACCCAAACAATGGTCGACTGTATATCCTTCAAATAGTTCAACAAACCTTTTACTTTCTTCTTGCTCTGTCCATTTTGCCAACTGAGGAGGAGGAGATTCAAAGGGACTAAATCGGCCCTTGTACCACAGAGTGGGGAAGGCCATAGAGTGCATGTACAAGGGCTTGTATTTCCTGGTTGGATAACAAAACAACATACATTAATACACAACATGTAATTAAACAAATAAAACAAAATAAAGAGCAGTAACACTGAACATCTAAATGCATATAGAAGAATGTTATATAAAGTAAACTGAATGTGAGATAACACATCTGAGATCAACTCCTGCCAGGATAATATTTAAATGTTTCAGGTGTCGTGGGTTCAATTTCTCTTTGCACTAGGCAGAGCACTTCAATTAACTGAAATGAGAGGGCGAATGAAAAGACCTGTTAGCACATAGAGATCCTGGAACAGGCAGTGGAGCTTGCAAAGCCTCATGGAATAGAAATCGTATCCGTTTGAGCTCTGGGCTCCTGGGGAGCCGCATCACTGGGGGGGCTTGTCACATTACACGATGGGACTCCTTAACAGGTTCAATTAAGAAAATCATCTGGGCTGAAATGCAAACCTCCAGAGCCAGCGCCCAGTGGGGTAGGAAGGGCAGAAACACGGGGGCGGGTCACCATCCGTTGTTGTTTCACTGTCATTGTGCTTGAACTGCAAAAAAGGATCTAATCTGATACTGAACAACCATTACATGAACCGGGGCAGGCCTGAAAAATTAATTTCCCCTTGCTTTGATAAATTCTAGCCGGTCTTTCTTGATTAACTGGAATCAACAACAGAGGAATAAAGGACCAGTGTGTAGGATTTAGTGGCATCTACAGGTGAAGTTGCAGATTACAACCATTTGAATGCAGCTCAGCCAGAGTATAGGAGAAACTATTGTGGCCACAAAACTCCCAAAACACAAAAAAGCCCCGTATACAACTAGTCGAACGCTCCTTATGTAGATGAGAGTGTCTTATTGTCTCCAATGCTCCAAGTGGTCAAAAAAAAGATTGCATGATCAAGAAAGAAGCAGTCGTCCACTCTCTCAGTGAATGAGGGATGAAACTCACCTGCTCAAGTCTTCAATTTTAAGATAGGGAGCCCTCAAAGCTGCAGCTGTAGATCAGGAGAAGTGACGATTAACAATAAAAAAAACTAAATTAGCCCACATTCAAACTGTATTTTTGGTAAATAAACACATTAGCAGCTTATATATATTTATATATACATAAACTCACCTTTGACAACATGAGAACCTTGTTGTTTGGTGTAAGTCCTCTGCATTAAAAAAAAAAAAGAAGAGTTTAAAATAAGACTTATTCATATTAAAGAGCAAATTACATTACAGCAGTCTCAATGGTTCTTATATTTGTTCTTCATAATTGAACTTTTAAATTACTATGCCTCTAAAAATGTCTTTTTTCTGAACAGTTTTTTACTAGTTCATTCATAAATGATTCTTTCATGAAAAGCTTCTACAGTCGGATATCTTGAGAAGTGTAAAGACATCTTACCTCGGGCCTCTTGTGTGTCACACTGAAGCTCTCTCGGGTCAACTGTTTCAAATATAAAAGGATATCTGATACCACATTAAGGAGCAATACAAGACTTCCACACTGTTCTGTGATATTTCTATACTGGTTAACGGCAAATTCCTCTAATGTATCTATAGGAAACAGCAGCACAGAACAAAACATAGGAGCTTGCGTGGCGCCATCTGCTGTAAGCAAAGGTTCACTGTACTATAGATGTAAACACACGCCAGCATTGTGGAATTCAAAAGTCAAAAGGATACCATCCACGTACAAAATCTTCACTCCCCATGATCGGGCATTGGCCAACACACTGCTTCTCCGCAGTCCTTCCTACAAGACAGCATGAAATCAACGTAACAAACAAAGCAAGGCAGTAAAATCTCCAACACCCAGCGTCCACAGATAAGTAAGATGGACCATATTTTGTTTAAGACTTACATTATTGCGAATGGCTTTTTCAAGCAGGGCCTTCCCACGGCTGCCACAAGCCTGCAGGGGAAAATAACAGATATAAGTTTTTCATTCTAGCTTATACTTTATAGTAACATCCAGAGTTAGTGATGAAAATAAGAGTCAATACAAAGTCAGAATATGTTTTTGAATGGTTATATGTAGCATTTCTCGTACAAACATATGAAAACTTACATTATTCACAGTAACATTACTTTATATCAAGGCGTATTTATTCAATAGCAACACCGTATACAGTGTAAAAGGTTTTAACACAGCACGAGTGATGCTCAGTACCACTGGTCGAGGAGTTCCTGGTCGTCGTTTGTCATTGCTGAGGATAATCTCTCTGGTCATTATAGGACGTTGGGCTTCTTCACTTGTCCCTTTTGTTGCCGCTTTGCCATCCGTACACTTCTGGTCCTTCAGGCACTCTTGGCTTCCGGTCACAACAAAGCTCACATCTTTGTGCAGGAAACTCTCGATCCTCTTCAGAATAAGACAAAAAAAAAGACATCGGGTGCTTATTAGTTCCTGCTGAGAGACATCCGTCATAGTCAGACATTTACATTTCCTTGGACAAACTGACTTGAGTAGGTGTATAATTCACCACGATGACAGTCTTAGTGTTATTAAAGTTGTCAGTTTGGCAATGCATTGTTCACTGAAATGATCAGAAATCAATAGTAAATCATTAATAGTACAAACATGTTCGTTGTTGTAGAATATTATTTACTTACACTTATTTCCAATCAGTACTTTACTCTATATTCCTTATATAGACAGAGCATATTTAGTGCCTTATTCTAGTTCACAATCAATCAGTACTATAAAGAGACACAGAATTGTCATATTTTATGTTCAAATGTTGTTTTTAAGAACGTGCTGTACCATTAGTAGTGGTTTTAACTACTAGATCTTCTTCAAAAAAGAGCCAAAACACAACATTTTTCCTGACAGATGAAGCAAAAAGGTTTTGAAGGAAGCAAACCAAATTCTCGCATGATATTATATACCTAAAACGTCAGTGCCTAGATCCAAACCTGATTACAGTTCTCATATATAAACGTACTGCCTTCGCCTTCACCTTCACGCACACTTACCCCTCCTAGAAGAGAGATGGTCTCCAACAGCAGGGTGGTCGAGCGTTTCTTCACACTGTCCAGGTAGAAGGTCTTCCCCTCCAGCTTCTTCTGCCCAGGACACAGCGAGCCCAGAAGACCTCTCTCCTCTGCATACTGCTGGTGTTGCATGATCCCCGTGCTTCACAGAAAAACACCAGGATCCTACTTTAAAAAAGAAAAGGAGAACAAAAGCACCGGTGTTATGTAAATATAGATAGATAGATAGATATATAGATAGATACTTTATTCATCCCCAAGGGGAAATTCACAGTTTCCAGCAGTATCCACAAACTGATTTGAGCATGCACCTTAGGACACTTAACCAATGCTCGTATTTTAGCTTTTATTTACTTTATTTTATTAGTTATTTCAAATTTGACCTGTTGTTATTGTTGTATTATTATTATTATTATATATA